TTTTAAAATTTTTAAATTTTAAGCTACAGCTGTCTTACTGATAAGGTCCAGTTGTGGGAACAGATAGGAATGTATGCGGCTTAGCGGACTGAAACTTTTCTGTTTAATGATTTAATTAATTTTAGTGTTTCTAGTTACTTAATATACACGAATAACACTTATTGTTTTCACCTTAATTTTAATTTTTCAGCCGTAGTTACATTCAAAATTTTCATGTAATTTTTACTTATGTGTTGTTCTAGAGCTATTATGCGCGAAAGGCAAAAAGGCGGCATGAGCAAGAGCATCATACGCAGCCCGGACTTCATCCGGCAACACTGTCCGAACATCAGCATGCTGCGCCACCGCCCAAACAAGCCGTCTCATTAAATCAACAGGTAATGCACTTTTTTCTCCAGTCTGCTTTGAAACAGACGTGGTCAATGCAAAACTTACTTGAAGTGAACTCGTTGTGGTCAAGGAGGTCTCGTCTTTATAAATATCTGCCCTGTCATGAGGGGTTGATGACCTTCAGGTGGACAGTGCTAATTCTTGTTTTGCCGATTAGTGCGGTAAAGCGCCTATTAGTGTCTAGCTTAATACTCTGGTTAGTTGTCGTTTCATCGTAGCATGTTTTTGTCTCAGTAACACAGCAGGCAGCCTTATCGCTGGTGGTTGCGATTGAAGCTGCACCACTGTTTGTCAGCCTGATGTCATTGCTGATGTCATTGCTGTCCTGCTTTTTTCGTTTCTCTTCATCTTTATCGAAATCAAAATCACCAAAATTCGCAGATTGCTTCACATATGGTGCAGCAAGGCCATGCGCAGCAAGTGCAGCAGCAGCAGCAGCAGCACACAATGTTTTCGCATGCAGCTGCTGTTCCTTCGTTATTGCGACAGTTACATGTGCAGGTCAGTGGTCATTTTTTGCTTCAGTTATTTAATATTTCTTTTTGCAAAAGTTGTCCCAGTGCGTGCTTACAAAGCGTGCAATGTTGAGAGTATTCGAGTTCGCTAAAATGATTCAAATAAATTTAGATTGCGGAAAATCCGCAAAACGGCTTGAACAACAACGGGTATGACGATGAAAACCATGACTATATTATACACCCGGGTGAAATCTTTTATAACAGGTATGTTTCCTTTCCTGTGGAACTGTTTGTTTTCTTTGATCACATGGGCAAAACAATCGCACATTTTTGGCATCTGCTCATCCTGATTTTGTGCGGAGAGCAATAAAGAAAAAGCCAGCATGACGTCCATGTTTGTTAATCCTAACGTATCCAG